TTACCTTTCCACTCCTGTTCGGTGTAGCCTCCAAATATGTAATTTCCACTCTTGATCACTGTCACAGTCGGTCCCTTGTTGTCACAACAAGAGTGAAAGTTGGACGCAGCCCAGCCATTACGCGAAGCTCGATATGACAGGTTGTCGCTAGCCATTGTGACGTCTGTGAGGGCCCCCGTCTCTTTCAACCAGTTCATCAAAGTTCGGCCTTGATCCGATGACAATATAACAGAATCCTGAAAGGGTCTTGCAGTCAATGCCTTAATTATTCCTTCAACTTGATAAAACTCGGCCTCGGCCAGTAGCTCTTTGCGAATTATCTCGTCTTTAGGCACAATGAGCCGCCCAGTGCGGAAATAATTCAAGATATACCGGAAGTAAGTTCCATCGCGATCGATGAAGTAAGATCCATCCTCGCTTGGTTTTGTGTCAAATCGTCCTGAAAACATGGCATGCAACATGGAACCTGGAATAAACACGATTAATTAAAAGTGTACAAGATTCTGACGAAACCAAAAAACGTAAAACTGTTTTAGTTCCCAAATTAGCCGTGCAGGAACCAGTCTTCTCGAGGTAAGCGAGACTCTTTCGTTGCTCTGACTCGCTTTGCTGGAACCATTGAAATATCATTCGAAGGTCGGAAATCGGATTGCATAGGTTTCTTAACCGAGCAACGTCTTCTTTAAAACTAACGAATTAACAATTAATAACAATTAAGTTAAACACCTTAAATTAAAATTACCTGGATCCTTTTTCAGGGTTTCTAGACTGGTCAAGAACAGTTGGCCGCCAACATTGAGTTTCAACATTTTGGACAAAGGATCCTGCTCAAGTTTTTTCAGCTGCTTCATTGCGATTGAGCTCCCATTTCCTTGCAAACTCTTTCTGTCTCGCGGTTTAAAAGGTCGCTGACTTCTTCGACACGTTTGGACACATCCCGGAGCATTTCAACGTCGTACTAGAAGAATTTAGTTTTTCCTAAGAGTTTCTCGACAAAGACAAAGACATCTTTCTTGAATAAATAAAAGTCATCGACTGGATGAAACATTTTTACTAAGAATCATACATATAACGAACCACTGCAGTTGTTTTGCTTCTGTCAGAACTTTTTTTTTAACTCTCGATTCTTGGAATCTTTGATTTCCCGGAAATTTGTTATACCTTATACGTAATTTATTGCTTTTGTTTTGGTCACACCACACCTGTCAAGTGAAGGCACCAGTTCCACACTCCTTGTTTCTTCTTCCAATTTACGACCGAACAAAGCGTTTAAAAGTTGTAACTACAACTGCACTACAAGTCCGTGCTACCCTGTTCCAGACCAAAAACTCTTTACGTCTAACCTAAAGTCACCTGATGAATTTCGAATAACTTTACCGGCCACAGATGTCGACTATATGTAACTGAAAGTTCTCTGGTTAAGAAATTCTTTACGTCATTTTTAAAACTTCGATGCTTGTACCAGAAAGTTATCCCATAGTCATCCCTCTACNTAACTACAACTGCACTACAAGTCCGTTCTACCCTGTTCCAGACCAAAAACTCTTTACGTCTAACCTAAAGTCACCTGATGAATTGCAAATAATTTTACCGGCCACAGATGTCGACTATATGTAACTGAAAGTTCTCTGGTTAAGAAATTCTTTACGTCATTTTTAAAACTTCGATGCTTGTACCAGAAAGTTATCCCATAGTCATCCCTCTACCAACTATGGTTATCCTAAGCCTTAGAAATGATGTACAGAACAACTTTGGTAAAATCACTGAGTCTCCCAGTCTTCCCATTAACCAATTTCCGAGTTGCCTTAAGCCTCTCTATCAAAGCGAGGCCTAGTAAACACTATAAACACTATATAGCTCATCTGCATTTCAGTACAGAGACCGAAGACTGAAGGCGTGAACGTGAAGGAACAGAACAAGTTCGGAGTGTCTAGAACAGATGTGAGAAAAACCAAGTAAATCACTCAAGGACTAAAGATGTAAACTACTTGTTCTGCCGACGTTAGGGTACCTCTATCCAAGAACTTGCTATCCTCCTTCACAACTGATCTCCAAAAGACAAAATTAGCCTGTAGGTTGATAGCTGTTCTTGGAAATTTGATGTTCTAAAAACTACCTATGCTTCATCTATTGTTTCTACTGTCCCAAACTCATCGATTGGACACTCCGGGTTCTGATGAGAGGTGTAAAGAATCCTTCACGGTTCTTGCTTTCAACTCATTAATTTCATTGATTATTTCTTTTATTAAATCCATTTTGAAATCACTGGTTATCCTTGCAATCTGATTGGCTCTCAATGGTGCGATTTATTCACGAATCGCACTATTTTTTGCTCTAA